AGGATGTGATATATGTGCTCTGAGACGTGGCCTAGAATTTCTCACCTGTGATTATACTGCATTTCTCTACTGAAATTGGATTTTTTTTCTGGCAGAGAAGGCCTGAATTCAAGAAGGCAGCTTGAGTACCAGCATTCTGGGCAGTTCAGATAATCTTCATCATGTCTGAGAACATCAATAAATCTTCACCCTTTCCTATACAGCCTGAGATAATAATTGGCATCTCATTACCTTTTCTTCATATCAAGAGCTGAGTGAAATTTACCCGTATGAGAAGGATGGGTGAATGGCTTTTTCTGGACCTTGTTGTGTCCTTGGACCAATGTTTAGTGTGCCCTCTTTTTGCAAATTTTCCCTTGTAGCTGTTAATAAAAATATTTTTGCTTTCCAAAGGGAAGCTTTTACTTGAGATTTGGCTGTTTTGAGTAATAAATGCCAGTGAAATACAAGATATATAAAGTGGCTCACAATTGGAATACAGTATGTGAACCAGTCTAAACTGCATAATATGAACTGTTAATCATATTTAATATTTTAAACTACAATTTCTAACAATTGTTCATTGCCTTTCTTATACATTATTGTTCCTTGCCCTGTGAAATTGCTTCCATATCCTCTAGAATAGTTTTTATGTTACATTGTTAAAGAATAATAAAGCCTTAGCGACAATTTCATAAACATTTATATTTCAGGAAGATGAAGAATGTCTAGCAACTTTCTTTCATTATAGGTCATTCTCAGCAACTGAATATAAGAATTTAAATAAATACTTTTGTATATATTGAGATTAAAAAACCAAACCAAACCAAATCTAGAAAAATAATTTGTTGCATATCACTATTCATAGTATCTAAGTGTTTAGTAATAAAAATAAAATGTGTTATTGAATCATAACTGTTAAATCTGAACTTTTGATGCTTCTTGTTCTAAATGAGAGATTTGGGAAAAGAGCATAGTTTGAAAGAAATATAGTTTGAAAAAGTTTATGATGTCTAAAAATGAATGATGCATATGCTTTGAATATTATATATTTATGAGGTGATAACTGTTGGTTCTTCTTTAACCAGACTGAGAATGTCACAGACTTCAGAATGGGTGCACTCAAGAAGGACAGGAGAAATGTGGTAAAACAATATATCTGTCAAATCGGTCTTGATGAAAAACATGAAAAGTTAGTTTTTCAATAAACCTTCTCTCTGTCAGGGAAAGTTTAGGTTGGGTACTAGAGTAATGATCTTCAGAGAGTGGTTGGGCACTGGAATAGGCACCCCAGGGAAGTGGTCATAGTCCCAGCCTGGCAGAATTCAAGAGGCATTTGGACAATGATCTCAGGCACATGGTGCTGTGCAGGGCCAGAATATGGACTTAATGATCCTTGTGGGTCCTTTCTAAGTCAGGCTATTCTGTGATGACTCTGTGAAAAGTGATCTTTTCCCTTAGTGGTGAAAGCAAAAAGGGTGAGAACAGAACTGAAATGAGTTGCTTTTTTATTTACTTTTTCTTTCCAATAGCAGAAAGGAAACAAAAAACAAAATAAATTTTAAAATGCTGGTGATATTGTTGGATATAGGTGAAAAGAATTGCATTGTATTCCCAGTATTGCATTTACTGGGAAGCAAAGAATTTCACTTTTATTTATGGCATTTCAGTAAGTCAAGTGTATGTAAATCTCCGTGTGGTTGCTTTTAGAAAAATTGACTTTTTCTTCCTTAGGACCTTTGAGGACATGAAATTATCAAGTGATTCTGCCTTTTTTCTTAATACTGATTTGCATGTGTGGACCATTGGACCACTTCCCCATGAGCTTAACATGCTCTTAAAATTTACTGAAAAAGCAAATTTGTTCACTTTTTCATTTATCACTTTCCTCATTCTAATAATAGATTATGATTTGAAAACACGTTATGAGGAAATAGGCAATTGAAACAGAAACAGTTCTTGCACTGTAATTTCTCTTATATAGATATACTAGAAGTTTTTGCTATGAGCAATAGGCATATTTACTGAGGAAATCCTCCTCACTGTAACTGTAATAAAGATGTACCATGAGCAAGAGAGAAATCCTGGCTGTGATCAGTGTCTCCAGCCATATGGCAGGCTGTGGTCCCAATCCCTCATGGATGCCCTCTTTGACTTCAGTAGGGCTGCAGGGTGATGCAGCCCACATTCTCTGCAGGTCATTTATTAGCTTAGCTTTGTGCCCTCAGACTATCAGCCCTATCAGCCTTTATTCCTACTCTTGCTTTTGCATAAGAGGATGAACTGCATAATTTTGTTGCTGTCCTGGAGGCAGACTAAATTAGCTTGCAGCTTGTGTACGGTTAATGTTGTGAAGTAAATAAATTCTCGTCTGTTTTGTGGTTTGATAACACATGGATGATTACATTGAGAAAGAATTCACAGCTGAATTGTGTAAGTTAGTCAATACTGAATAGTAAATCTCTTTACAGCATGTTTGTCCTCTTCTTTCCCTTTTCTTTCAGTAGAAATTTAATTTGAAAACAGATTACTTCTGTTCTTTGCAAATAAAATACTGAGGAGCTAATACTTTTCTAAGCAATTTTCCTTTTGTGCATCCTGTTCTGACAATTCTGTAAAAGGCAGTTTATTTTTTATCATTCCTAAAGAACAAATAAGCCCATAGAAAAACAAACCAACCCATTTTGTCCAGGTTAAATGTATAAATCCAGGTTAACCGCTCATTGTAGTTCATTATTTTTACATTGCCATGTGTCCTTTCATTTCTCTCTCTTTCTCCTGACTTCAGAGAAATCCATGTCATGCTTTGATATCTTTCCTCTGCTTCTGTAATTTTGAGATAGTTCAGGCTAAGATGTACTGTTGATGGGTCAGGCAGGCATTAGACATTTGCCTCTGACACCTTTCCTTAATTTCAAACTGCCTTTAGAAAATCTTCCCTGATTAGCTGCCACTCTAAGAAGCACACTTAAATCTCTTCATCAGCCTAAAGATTACTCCTTGGTAACCTTTCCTTGTTTTTAGCAAGTTGGTTGATTTGTCTGCTGAGACTTGTTTAAAACAGTCACCTGCATCTCTTCCACTTTCATTTGCACAGCAGTTTCAGCAGTTCTCCCCTGTGTAGACTTGGCTGCAGCTACACATATCTTTGTTACTATTAAACTAGAAAATTGCTTTATCCTGGAAAACACTCAGGCACACTTTTGCCAGTACAGAATCATAGTGGAAGGATGCTGTCACCTGATGATTCATAAAATCGAGCTGGCTCAGTGCTCATAAAGAAGCTCAAAAGCATAAAAGAAGCTCATGTTATCCCAGGTGATATCCCCAAAACAGACAGAGAGCAAAATTATTTTAGACCCCTGCTGTTTCTGCAGGCACAACAAATACCATATTCTGTCTTTGTAACATCTATATTGACTTGATTACCATGTCATATGGAATTCCTCTAATTCTTCAGATATAGGAAAGTACATCAACATCCAGATACTTAAGTGGTTGCTCAGGTTTCTGAAAATGCTTAATAATACTGTGGTGTCTATAAGTAGATGTATTTTACTTTTACCTGTTTACCTAGCCATGCCTTCAGTGACATTGTTTTTGGACAATGTTCTTTGTTCCAGCAACTACTAATTTCATCTTGGGTAGAATAGTGTTGGATATGCTTGCTTTAAAGGAAGCCAGAATATACTTGGTTACATTGAGGCATACTAAATTGTTAATTTTTCATTTAAATCTTCATCAAATAGGATATTTGTTTATTTGTTTTTTGGTTTGTTTTATTGGATTTCTTTTTTAGTTAAAAAACTCTGGTTTTGTTGGGAAGTACAGAAACGGACATTTGCAAAATTCTTATCTAATTTACAAAGTAAAAATAATGACAATTTGCATGCCATGGAACCAAAAATGTGTACACAATTACTTGTTTTAAATGCTGATATGGTTATACCTGATTACAATAGAATCTTGTGGAATTAATTTTGGTTATAAATCAAGTAAAGTTTTGCTCTCTCAGTCATGCATTTGAACTGAGCTTAAAGCTTACTGACTAACTAATACATGCTGGCTAAAGTCCTGCCTCATTTTTTCTGCTCATTTGGAGCAGAAAGGTTAAGAGGACAGAAGCAGAGGCAAATGGTATCTTCTTACTACTCCTTGGAGATTTCACTACTAAAGATCTCCCACATCTACTATGTAATGAAATATCTGCTAATGTCCATATAGCCTCTGTGGCATTTAGCACTCTTCATTTTATGTTGTCTGGCTTTGAAACCTTATGATGTGTAATGTTCTGTAACCTTTCAAAAACATTCACAGGTGTGATGTCAATGTTTCCCAAGTACTCAGCTGTCATTATTGTAAGTCTGACTTTTGTTTAGAAAAGCCCAGGCTTACAATTCACTTCCTTTCAGGGAAAAAAAAAGGGACAAAAGTAATATTTTGCATCTTAACACTTCCTCTGTTTTCTTTTTAAAGTTCCACTAATCTTCGAAAAGTGAAATGACCTTTTTATGTACATTTATTTTAAATTATTTGATGCATCCCAAACCTTTGCTGTTATTTATCCTCACATTTTAACTTGTGCTAGCTTATTTTTTTTTCTGCCATTGGCCATTATAGTTACACACACAAAAAAAATCCATTCTGATCTTGATTTCTACTTAATCCAAATTTAAAATAATCTGTATTATTAAAGACTAACCTCCTAGTAAAAAACTGTGATGCACCACAACTTATATGTTGGCAACTTGCCCATAATGATACTTTAAAAAAGATTTTGCAATTCCTTTGTTATAATATTATTTTCATAGGTAGATGTTTTTATGTCCACTTACCCATTTGGAGAATTAAATACATTTTTTAAAATATTTTTTTCTACGTCTTTGGAAGTGGTTAATCTTATTACTCTCTACTACAGGTTTTGATGAAATCTGTTTGCATACTGAATATTGAAGGCAGCTCAGGAACAGTCACAGTTGTGCCATCTCCTCCACTCTGCCATGTGGAAAAACAGAGGCCGTTGAGAAGCAGCAGTAATGTGGTGTGCCTAAACAGGAAAGAAATTACTCTTTCAGTGAAAAAGTGAATTTTTGTCTTTTGCATGAGCACTCTGAATCTGCACACAGTGTCAGAAAATTTTCAGGGGTAAAGAGCCTTATTAGTCATACGGATGACTATTTGTGGCTGGTGGTATGAAATCATGGATGTGCTGTTACTTCATCTGCATTCACAACATGGTAACATCCTCCTTGAAAAAAAATATGAACAGCAGCTGATGTATAAAAAGCTTCTAGTAACAATCACTGTGTGCTCATAAACTGATTCTCTTAAATAAAAATAATGGTTAAAATCCTATAGATTCATTACCAAATTTTTGATACAGACGAAATGTTAAGCCAAGGCAGTTTCTTTTCACCACTAAATGTTACCTTATTTCGGTATGATAAAATACCATTTTTTGCTTTAGTTTACTTCTTTATTGTCCAGCTTTCTGAATTTTTTTTTCTACTTTAACATAAAATCTTCTTGCTCCTTTCTTTCTCACAGGAAAGATGGTGAATTTTACCCAGATGCACTGAGCAATACCCAGTAGAAATGCCTGATTTTATTTCATTTAAGGTATGTTGATGGACTGTGTTTTAAAAGGTTGATAGCCTTACAAAGCAATAGGGAGATGGGCTTTTTTTGTTATTGTAAGCATCATTAAATTCCAGTTCAATGCTCAAATCTGATAAGCATGTGAAAGGCAAATATGTTTCGGATTTGTATGTAACGAAACAAAAAAGGAAAACCAAAGTCTGTAGGGATGAAGCCTAAATTTACAGGGTCAGTAAAATTTGTTCTGCTGGAAAACACTGGTTTTTTTTCCCCTTCCCTGCAGGGTGAAAAAATAAGCTTATTGGCATGAGTGGCTTTACCTCACTGTTTTGAGATCAACTGTTTTAGGGAATATTTACTTCACAGAATACATTCCTCTGACAGTTGACTTAAATTCTCATAATCTCTGTTTAAATTAAAATATGATGGATTTAATCCATGGACTTTTGCACACAAGAATGTATTTGCTACTTAATTTATGATGCTTATTGAAACACAGAAGTTAATGCCAAAGTTGCCATCATGGAAAATGAGAAAATGCAGCAAAATAGAGGAAACGTTTATTTGCCTTTTTTTTTTTGTTGTTGTTGTTGTTTTTGTTGAAATGAAAGGCTACTGCAAGTAGAAAGTCTGAAGTGTCTGAATAAGCACCAGATTAAGATTTAAACAATGTTTTTTCAGTCAGCTGTGTTAGTAACAAAGCTGACTTTAATTATTTTTAAATCTGACAGGAATTCTAATAGGTTTCTGGAGGAATTGATTAGGATAAATTTAAAAACATTGTGATTATTTACTTTTGCTATTTGGATGAATTTAATACCAATTATGAAACTCCATCTCCTGTTTCTTTCACCAGAACCTTTAAGAACAGGGTCATGCATAAAAAAATCCTGGGTTTTTGCAAAGATTTTAATATCAAAATTTAGCTGTAACAAAAGTCCACCCTTTGCTGCATAAGCAAAAAGTCTTTAAAGCTTCTGGCAAAAAACCCATCAGAGACTGCAGGAAAAGAGTTCAAATGACTTGGCTATTTTCTTTCATCTGCTGAAAATAAGATGCAGCATCAATTGTTTTGGTTGTCTTCACAGTTAAGGAAAAAGGTTTAGTTTGAAATAAAATTTACTTTCTTATATAATGAGCATGACAGCAGCCTTCTAATGGATTATGAGCATTGCACTATGAATATTAGAGCTTTATGTTTCCTTTTACATTACACACCTAACAGTTTTTTTTTAGTATGGAGGAAGATATGTGTACATACATGTCCTTTGTCTCTAGGTACACATAGTATTGATAAAAGTGGAACTCAGAGAAAAAGATAGTGTTATGGAAGTTGTTTTTTTGAAACTGTAAGAAGATTGATCAAACCATATGGCCTAAGAGTATTTATTTAGGAAATATAAGAACTACTATTTTACAGCAGTGAAAATGTCCTCAAAATTTATAATTATATGAGGGAAACTGCATTGGCATGGTACTTCTTCATTGATTTTTTGCTTGGTAGGTTTGCAGAGGAAGAAAATCTATTTTTGCTTCTACAGCCCTTCTACTAGAATTTTGCTGAGTCTCTAAACCATTGCATCTGAATTAAGTAGTATTTTTCTTTCATAAATTATGCTTTTCTATGTATCATTTAAGGGAATTTAGATGTCCAGGGAATTAATCTGTGCATATGTAAAACTCTGTTGATCCTTGTGATTTTTTTTTTAATTAAGTACTGTGAAAGTCACAGAAGTTTAAAGAAAATACATGCAGTTGTTCTATGAGACAGCCAAATTATTTAAGAAATTATTGAGAATTTTGAAATTTCCTTCTCCTTTGTATGGCAATAATGAAGGGACTTTATCAGCAAGTCAGATAGTTGTACTTCTTACAGCTACAGCCATTTTGACATCTTCAAATGTTCAATTGATTCCCCACACCAGTATTTACAAAAGAAGAAAAAGCTACTGGTAGTGTTATATGAAATCAGATATTTTCCTTCTCTGTCTGTAAATGAAATTTTCACATCTTATGCAGTAATTTATTTTTGTTTATTTGCTACACCTGGTATGCCTCCTTTGGGCTCAAGTCATACTTGGTTTTCCTGCTTGCAAACAAGAATCTTAGTTGCTCGTGAATCACAGAGTCACAGAATGGGTAAGGTTGGGAGGGGCTACAATGGGTTATCTGGTCTAAGCTGCCAAATTTGGCTGTCTGGTTGTTGACACATTGCATAGAGGGCTGCACTTTTAATTCCAGTTGCAGCACCTGTTACTGATTTATTGTTGGCCATTTTCCTCATATGGTCTCATTCTTTCTGCATAGCTGACTTTTTCTAGCTTTACTGTTTGTTCCTTTATGTATTAGGCCTTTTCTAGAAGGCACTTTTTCATTTTACACTGCTGCATTTTCCATAATGGGAACTTACTGTGGAGAAACAGAACTGTATTTTATGGTCTACCTGGAAGATTTCCTGCTGAGAAACCCTCTCTTAGTGCACTCATTTATATGAAGAACCACAAATGAGAGGCGTAGATGAAAGAGAAGTGTCAAAAGCCAGGTTTTGCTTTGGGTTCAGATCTAAAACTCCCAGACTATTCCTGAGTCCTGTTTGTACTATCTTTGAGTTTGCAAACACACCCTTGAAGTTCAGTGCCCTTCATGGCTAACTTTCACTAGAAACCCCTTAAGTTCTCTTTCTGTGCTTAGCATGTGTCACTACTGTGAAAAGCGATTATAAGACAGAGGCTTTTTTATTCAACAATTGTGCCTTTTTTGTATTCAGCAACATATCTGCTGGCTTCAGTTATAAAAGTAAGATTTACTGCATTTACTCTACCTAACAAGGCAGAGTGAACACAGCTGGGAGAAAGCTAAGTTTGATTCTAACCTATTTGTTCTTCACCACCAATTTAGTCCTATTTGTCAGTTTCTATCAGTTATATGCCTGGAAACTGGATACATTATGAGACACCATGAATAAGAACCATACTTATCACCTGGAAATGTGGAAGTGTCCTAACAAAGGAGCAGCAGCTGACATTGGTTATTCTAAACTGCAAAAGCAGGAAAACAGTCTGGAAATTCAAAAATTTGTCTGAGAAGTTAGAAAAGAGTCATTATCGGTTGGATGTCCGAGGTTAAATTAACAACATCTATTGGATGCCTTTTAATACTGGTGTCCTGAACGTTCTTATACTACTATGGTAAAAAAATAACCAGATTTTTATTTAGAATAGTGCTTATCTCTCTGAGAACTTCTCCTAGTACATGCAGTTTTCCTTCTCTCCAACAGGCTGAGCTCTCTGCATGACCTCTCTTTTAAGATTCTGGACACTTGCTGTGGGTGCCTGCCTGGCTCCAAACTCTGTCAGTCTGTTTCAGTGACTCCCATCACCTTGAAGTGAGATGATTTTATTTATTTCTCCTCCTCTGGGTCCACTTCTGGGGTTAGTTTGATTTGCCCTTCCCTTTGAGATGCTTTGGCCCCATCTGGATTCTATTTACTGTGCCTGGTACCATATACATACTTAAAAGTATTTTATTATATCTGCTCTCATACTATGGATAAAATTTTTGTAATGGTGGTAATTTTGTAGTAGCCTGTATAGGTCTGCTGGTTAATGCTATTATTAAGTGTTGTTGTAATTTATTGTTGCTGTACTATTGAGTACATATAAAAATTTTAATAGCTTGAGAGAGAGAGGGGGAGATATGTATGTATGTATGTATGTGTATATATGTGTGTATATGTATATATATATATTCACTTTATTAATCATAGGCATACTGACTAATGGTGATTTTCTTTGCATTTATGGTAATTTCTAATAAAGTAGAGAAACACAGGAGCTAAAGCCTAGATGTCATATAACCCTAAGGATCCTGGTCATGATCACTGCCACGCCGCCAGCTGAGTGACGCATTAGAGTGTGCGAGTAGGCAGCCTGCTTCAGGTGGGACAGTGGTGCCCCTGCTAGGAAGGACTCAGTTTATCAGGTTGATTTAACAAAGCTCTTAGCAAATTAAAAATATCTATTCACTTATGATATCACTTATCTATTTTTTTAGTCTTTAGTATCTGGCTCCCAACTTTTCTGTACTAAGCGTAAGGTTTGTCTTTCTCTAAAAGATGAAGATCCTATAGACAATATAAATTTATAAACTTGTATTGCTCAGTGCATACATACTATTTTAGCTTATACACGTTTATGAAAAATTCTCACAGTAAATTTTCCATTTATTCAAAAATAATATCAAATTTCTTCTCTAATCTCAAATATAATCTGGATTTTAAAATATACCACAGAGAGGAAAATAAATTGAGTGAAGTTTAGGAAGATAGGCTCTTTGGCTACCAGTATGTGAAATTGCAGATAAGCATTTGGAAAAAACCACTGAGGCTTTTAAAACTGGCATTTATTGGAAGGAATAGAGAATCCATCCAGTAATAAGGAGGTTTTGTGTACACTCTACACAATTCTCCACACTGTTCCCAGAAATATCATCCACCATACCTTTGGGAAAGATGCGTCTCAGATTCATTTAGCACTCTACTGTGGCTAATCAGGTTATGAAATGAAAGGCATCTATTCCTGTTCTGGACTACATAATCAATATTTCTACTAGTGAAATTGATAATGCATGAAGATTTTTTTTAAATTTATTTTGTTTTTATTTATTATCTCTTGAAAATGATGTTTCAGAGTAGCTGAACTGTTGTGGGCATTCAGGCATATTTCCTGGGTAGTTTGAATGCAAGAAGGTGGCCAAATATATTGAACTATTAAGACAAGTTGAAGGACTTTAAAAAACATTTTAGAAGAGATGGAATAAAATTCCTTGCCTGTTTCTGGAGAAAGATTTATGATGGTATATCCACAGTAGGCTTAAAAGACTCTTGTCATTTCTAACTAATTCAGCACGTAAAAAATGCTGCCAACACATTTGTAGATCTCCTTCAAAAGGCCTTATTCTCACCCTTTCTGGTATACCAGAGCCTTACATTTAGAAACTGAACTTTGGGGCAAAAATCAAAGACAATTACATCCTCTAGAGTTCAATGTCTGTCTTCCTTTGAAGAGTCTATGTCTTGTCTCTCACTGAATCTCAACATCCTGAGTTGGTGATGAAACATTTTCATGACCAAATAGATGCCTAAATACTGCCCTGAGAATGTTGGTTTACTAAAACAATTGCTTGTAACAGGTTGACGTATTGACAGATTAACAAAATGTGGCAAAGTACAATTTTTGCATGCGGGTTAAAGCATTGACAGAAAGGCCAACAGAAAATAGGAGGATGAAGTTCTCTGTGCAAGAGGCATAATAAAAGAGATAGGGATCTTGCAGTCATGACTTAGTGGTCATCTGAAATAGTTTTCCTCTGTGAAATTATGATTTAGTCAAATGGACCTAAGATATGGTGGACCAAAAGGCATAGTGAAATAACTTCGGAAAAGTACTGTAAGATTTCTAAACGCCTTACTATGTAAACCTACATTATATGCAGGAAGATTTTATGACATAAAGACAGAGCAAATAGCTGTAAAGTTTTCTTAATATTTTCATTCATCTTTGGATGAACGCTGTCTTAATTTTAATATGCCTTTCTGTCATGTAAATTATTGGACACTCATGAAATCAGAGCAGCTCTTGCATCCAATTGCTGATGTAGATTTAAGCTTTCAGTGTAACTGGTGCTACACTGAAATAAAATCTTGCTCATGGTCTAAAGATAGTTCATCATCAGTAATCAAAATAATCAGTATTGTGTATTTTTTCAGTACTTGTGTCAAAGGCAATGTAGAACAATTTACTTCTTGCCATGTTTCATGTTTTTCCAGGACAATTTGATTTTCCCTGAGAAGATGAAATGTGCTATGAATTTATTTAGTGTATTTCCTCTTTAACATTTCACCCACTAGCTCATATTTATGACTGTTTCTTATAGTATATAGCAGTAAAAGATGACTTTCAAGTGTGAAGTTTTTTTCATGAAACACTTACAAAACTTTAGAGCACCATAATAGTTATATTAAAGTGATAAGAAATTAAATATTTTGCTAATCTTGCATTGTTGATTATATTTGCTAGCTTGCTTCATGGAGATACTATGGACAGTAAGCATACATTTAGAAGGACAAAAAATGTTGTTATAACTGGAAATGTATTTAAAAACTAGCACGCTGCTATAGAACTTGAAAACCTTGATAGTTTGATGTGTCTGACCTCGTAAGAGAGCAAGGAGGAAGTGCTTATTCAGACTGTTTTAAGACTTCCTTTTCTCATTTACTCAAATTAAAAATTTAAGCAGTTGATGAAAAAAGTTTTCCCTCATTAAAAATAAAAAGAGTGTTGAAATGAAACAGAAAATTGAAGTTGTGAATGCAAATACCTTTCAGAAAATTATGCAAAAAAGTAGGGAGTAACTAAATTATATAGATTGCACATATAAATATGTGTATCTATCTCTGTATTTTATCTAACCAAAAAAGATAATTCTAATACTTTCAAGATTAATTTTTTTTCTCATATACTTTTTTCTCCCTAGTCCTTTCTTTAGATTTGGATTTAAGATTTATTTTACAACCTAAAATAGAACGTAATTTATCTTGGTAAGAACATATGTATTTTGACATTTTTTTCTGCTGACAAAGCAGCAAAAGCATTCAAAACAAAGGAAAAAAAACAGGCTACGGAGTGGTCCTTCATTGGATCAGATTATGAAAGAATGTGATGTAGACTTAAAAAGTCTGAGAGGCAGAAGGATATTGTAATTTAAGGAAGAGGAAAGACATTGGAATCAGAATGTGGAAAGGTATTTCTTGCTTTGCGTGAGACGGATGTGTTCATGCAACAACATATGTAATTAAAAAAAAACAACTAACAATTGCAAGATGTACATTTTGGAGATCATAGTTTTAAAAGTAAATAATCTCATTTTTCAGGTATTGTGCTAAATTGCTTAGATTTTACTTTTCAACTCTGGGCTTGATCAGCTCTGTGGGTTTAGGTGTTTTGTGGGTAGCTGCTTTGGTGGGCTCCCTGAGAAAAGCTCTGTTTGAAGACAGATCAAACATCGCGAAAATGGGCTTATGAAAATGTCAGCTGGAAGATTAGAACCTGGTTTGGTGCTTCAGAATGCCTGCTTAAGACATCCTTGTAATGATTTGTTATTGGAGAGGAAAAGAATAGCTACTTTCCTTCAGAACAATCTTAACAAAAAATGTTGACCAAATGTGCTGGCCCACAAGGGTCTAGTATGGTCCCAGTGCAACAAGAGTAAAACAATCAATTTTATATTCTGAAAGCAACTAGGGCTCGCTATAGCCAAGATATATGTATCAAGGTAGTCTTTGGGTCCATGTTAAATAAAAGATTGGGACAGGAAATATGGAGGATGGAGAGAAGATGCTGTCATGTAAGGTTAGGTTCATAGAGATCAGGTTTTTTGATAAATGTAAACACTGTAAGAATGATGTTTGCTCTAAAGATAGGCATGTTACGATGGTGACTACAGATGATTTAGAATTGTAGATGTCCTCTTTCTTGAATAATCCGTGCACTGAGTAAGCAGGAAGCGTGCCTTTGCCATCGTTTCCAAAATCAGTCTCTGTAAGACATGAGATTTGTATACTAATTGAGGCTAAGGGATTTCCTGATGACAAATAGGTTATTTTAAAATTATTTTAAAATCAATTTGTATTTTGATTCTTTAATTTGTTAGTTTTGTAGCATCTAAAATATGATACTTTTTTCCTGATGAATAATTTGACCATTCCACTATCTGGACATCTTTTAAGCCATAAATACATATTGGCTTGCTATGTCTGGTGCTACTATTTGTTAAATAATTTTAGAGATCGGGAAAATTTGCTTCAGGAAAAGAGGCAACTGTCTCCATAAAAGTATTTGAATGTCCATATATAGTAAATCTTATCAGTAATTTAAATATAGTATTTTAATGTTTTTAAAGAAACTGGTGGAAAACTGTCTTTTAACTTTTTTTTTTAATATTTATTTTTAATTTTCTTACAATAATGTTATCTGTGTATGTAGAATTTTGATAAGCTGACACTAAGATTAATACTTATTTATGAGACAGTAGTTATTTAATTTACAATAGGTAATACACTGCACTGCACTCTTAGGAAGTTGAATCTGTCCTGTTGTTTTGTGCCAAAGCCTTGTTAATACTGTGATAATGTAGTCAATTTTCCTTCAGCTTTGAGGTATAGGATAAGAAATTATTAGAATAATCCAATAGGTAGTCCAGGGTATAAAAATATCCCATAATATGTGACAGCAGTTGATAATATTCTGTACAGTTTTCTACTTTAAAATATACATCATCTTTGAGGTGAGGAGGCTGACAATTGTCTGTGTTTCCCTGAAGAGATGG